CGGATTGTGAGTCAGCTCGCCGGCGGGTGGCCCGAGCACCTCCGCACCTACTTAAACTCGCCGACCTTCCTTCTCTCTCTTCTCTTCAACAACACACTCACCACCACCCCCCTCTTTCTTGTCTTTGCCGACTGGCAGTTCAGATTCTTTTCTTCAAGCTTTTCAACATCACCCAACACAGCACCATTGACCAGCTTGAAAACAACATCCACCCACCACCATCCCCAACACCTCGAGCCCGCGGGCATACCAACACCCTCATCATGTCGACCCCCCTCGGCAATTCCGGCAACGACAGCAGTCCACCTCGACCTCTCGGCGCCGCCGTCATGCCCACCTCCACCCCCTCTAAGAAGCGAAAGACCAAAGACCACACCCCCAAGACTAGCAAGCGCCACAAGAGTCAGTACGAGCCAGCGAACGTCACCGGCGAGTCAGCTGGAAAGTCTGCAAAGGAGAAGTACAAGAGCGCCCTCCCAGAACTCGAGGCGACACGAGACGCGGCCCGAGAGAAGCTCCGGGAATATAGTAAACTCCTACCTACGATAGGAGAAATAGGCGTCGCGATCGCGGATATGAAGGTCGGCGAAGTCAAGTTCCCTACTGTCGCGGGATACCTCAACCTCCACGAGAACAAGCAGCTCCTGGATGTCTTGAAGGCAGTGACGGGCGATCTCCAGACTCTCTACAAAGCCCACACACAGGTGAGCCTTCATTTCCATTTCAAGATAAACTGAATTGCCGGCCGGCAGTTCAGTTTCGAATCACAAAACTGCCAACTGGCAATTCAGTTTATCTCGAAATCAAGAACAAAGAACACGCTGACGCATCAACAGAGATACGGCCTGGACCAAAATGTCGGTGGCGGCAGAGGTGCCAACCCAGAGCCACAGATGATGCCCAACCAGATCTTCAATTCCATGGCCCAAGGCAGAATCCAAGCCCAGGATCTGACCAGCGACCAACCACCAGACCTCCAGCGATACCCAACCAACAACACGATCCGCATGCACGTCTACCTCCTCCGCTTCGCCCTCGCTGCCATCACGCGCGATCACACCACTGGCTTGGGCGTCTCGAACATCGACCGCATCTTCACAGGACCAGGCGATCCCCAGCAAGACCGCGTATTCTTCGAGGGCGTTCACAACCTCCACGGCGAAGACATCTTTCGGGCACTCATGCTGTGGCAGGCGTACAGACTGAAGCTCTCGAAGTCCACAGTGCAGAGCTTGGACGACATCACCTTCTACGGCATGCCGACTCTCCCCATCTTCGCGACCAAGGAAGTGGGCACCAACACTGCCGCGCAACAGCGTAGGCAGACCAAGGCCTTTCATCGTTTCCTGTCGGAAGGCGGTGTGCGCGCTCTCCCCGGCGACCAACTCATTCGCCAGTGGGCAACCACCGCGAATCAAGGCGCAGAAGAGACCGCCAGCGCCACCAACGTCGCAGCGAGCAAGGATGTCAAGCTGAGCGACGACCTGGACACCTTGACGCCAGAGGGTGTCTACTCCGTCCTCCAGATATGTTCAGCCACCGCCAACTTCATCTACAACGACCCGGGACGTCAAAACAAGAACTTGTTCGACGTCATCGATACCCGCAGCGCCCAACAGAAGGCCGAAGACGACGCCAACAAGGATCTTCAGATGCAGGAGGATGGCACCCGCTTCGTCCCGGCCGTTATCGACACTCGGCCGCCATCGTTCACGGACGAG